GGACACTGGTTCAAGTCCATCTGGTGGGGTCTCCTTAGCCTCCTTGATCGAGAGGTCAGATGACCCACCACCATTACAGGACACTTTGCGAGATGCTCATAGTCCTTGGGAACTAAATGACCTAGGAGGGCAAGGAGCAAAAAGTGTCCTTTGTGTCCCTCTGACCCAATTAGTATAGATCTCAAGGTATGTCTGTTAAACATCCAAGAAGGTTAGTTCCACCATTCTGGCATTTTTAATTACTGTGTGTCCTTATAGTTTTAAGCCACAATGGGACCAAGGGCATGAGGGAAAGCTCTCTTCTTTTCTTTCACTCCCACTTGCTTGTCAGAGCCTCCCAGCCCTCCCTGGCAGCAGGGAGGACCTGCAGACTGACACTCTCTGCAGGTCTGTTAAGGAATGCCTTTCCATGTAAAACCACCCATTGCATCCCTCAGGGATAAAGGGACTTACACCGTAACTCTTGCAGCAGGAAGTATGGTGGCATTTGGGTCTGATGGCTTGCTGTAAGGTAAATGCAGTTTGCCTTCTTTATTCTACAGGTGAGAAAGCCTATCACATAGGTTTAACAAATTTTGTTAATTTTTCCCCCATTGGGATTTTTATTTATACCTATGTTTTACATCTCTAGAAAAAGGATCCCAGGATTTCCCCTCATGTGTGTTTCTGTTTGTTTCCTCATGGCGCATGATGCCAGCCGAGGTTGTCAGTACAATGAAACCAAACCAATGGGATGGGAACAGATTATTCTGCCATTTTTTCTTTGAGCTCCACATCAAATCCGAGGCAATAACGCCATTCTTGTTTAACCTGCCTGTGAGGTTCACAGTGATTTTCCCAGCTCCGTGATCCTCAATGATTTCAAATTCACCAAAGTAACCACACTTCATCATCACAGTTAGGAAGCTGATGATGACTTTGGGGCATGGCCTGATGAGCACTGGCCAGGATACTACACGTGATGGCAGCACAGGAAGATGGTGGAAACTGTTATCTGAAACTGTTATCCTCATTTTATATATACACAACATATTTATTATTATTATTACTACTATTATTGTATTGCAGCACTGAGGACAGAACCCAGGGTCTCACGAATACTACAGAAGCACTCTACTGAGCTTTACTGCTAGCCCCCCTGGATCTTATCAGAACACAGAAGCCAGTTTGGGAGAAATCACTGGTGAGAGTTGGCAGGATCAAGAAGCATACTTGGGAAAGGTTGGGTTAACATCATTTTCTGCATCTCCTAAGGGTTGGAAAACCACAACCTGAGATAGTTTATCTCAGGGAAGACCGAGCTGTGAGTATCCCTGGCAGTGCTTGGGTTGGGCTGGCTTGAGGAGTTTGTAAGGAGGCAGCCAGAGTGTCCAGCCCAGGGGCTGCCTAACTGCTATAGAGTTGGCCAGGAACTGCTGCTGCAGGTGGTCGGTACTGCCTGGTTAGGAAGACTGGAGAACTTGCTGTTTGTGCTCTGCGTGTGTTGAGAGGAGACTCTTTCTTGGGTGTGGATTAGACTGTATTACCTTTGCGGTCCCTGTACTGTTGGAAGACACAGAGGAAGCAGTTCCCAAGACATGCCAGGAGTCAGAGTCTCTTGCAGAATGGGCACATAGTCCTGCTTACTACAAATGCCGATGTTTGCAAATGGCTCTTTGTTCAGTTTTCAGTGAGAAGTTTAGAGTAATTCCCATAATGAGTCTTTTCTCATTCAAATTATTATTATTATTATTGTTTATTTAGTTTTTTTTCTTGAGATAGGGTCTCACTGTGTAGTCTTGACTGGCCTGGAACCTTCTGTGTAGACAGGCTGGCCTCGAACTCATAGAGATCCACCTGTCTCTGCCACCTGGGTGCTAGAATTAAAGGTGTGTACCACCATGCCTGGCTTTACAATGTTTTATAATGTGTGAGTGTGTGTGTGTGTGTGTGTGTGTATGTGTGTGTGCGTGTGCGCACTTGTGCTCACACATGGTGCTGACACGTGTGTGTGTGAGACCAGAGGACAACTTCTGGTGTCATTCCTCAGGTACTGTTCACTTTTTAATTAATTAATTAATTAATTACTTCTGTGTGAGGGAGCATGTGTGTGCTATGCTGCACATGTGGAGGACAGAGGACAACTTTCAAGACTGAGTTCTCTCTGTTCACCATGTGGGTATGGGTATTAAACATGGGTTGTCAGTTACTTTTGCATACAGAGCTGTCTTGCTGGCCTCAATTTTTTTTTTGGAGAAGGAACAGGATCTCTCACTTTTACCTAGCACTCACTAACTAAGCTAGGCTAGCTGGCCAGCAAGCCCCAGGCACCCACCTGTCCCTGTCCCTCTAGTACTAGGATTATAAGCATGCACCACAATGCCAGGCCCTTTTCACATGGGTTCTGGGGACTGAACTCATGTTACTTTACCAATTGAGCCATCTCCCTAGACCTTATTTTTAACTTTTATAATGGGAATGTTCTGATACATGTATGCATTATAGGATGATTCTATAAACTAATTAGCATGTTCAT